GATACATATAATATAGGTCTCAACAGAAGCAAGGGGCCAATGAGATGGCTCTGAGAGTGCTGGTAGCTGAGCCTGACACTCATCCCCAGGGCCCATATGGTGAAAGGTGAGAACCAACTCCTGAAAGCTGTTCTCTGACCTCCATACACCTGTCACGGAACTCTTCATCCCACCCCCACCCCCAGAGAATAAACGGCATATACAATTTTTAAAAATTTTAAGATGCCAGAGCTCGGCTTTAAAAACTGCCATGCCTTTATGTTTACAGATGCCAATATCTAGGTTTGGGGTTTGCTTGCTTGTTCAGGCCTATTTCTGTAATTGTGCCAAGAATGAGAGAAAATTTATGGATATGAACAGAAAAGGGAAGCAAAGTCTGCAAAAGGCCGGCTCCAGTTGGGAGCTGAGTCCCTGAATCCCAGTAGGGCTTGGCCCTGTGCACACAGCAAGCACACCAGCCTGTCTGCAGCTCCTGTAACTCTAGGTCTAGAGGCTTCTCCTTTGCGTACGGCCTCTTGCAGTCTCCACACAAACTGTCTCTCAAGTTCAATTCAGGCTAGAAAAGAAATAGCATGCAATTCCCCCAATCCGTTTCAAGAAGCTAGGAGCAAATCATACTATATACCCTCTTCCTACATCTCTAGAGTTCCAATGTCTGGGAACGCACTTGCAAGGGATGGGAAGACACTGAATTACCAGGAGACAGAGCAATGATCCAGGTCACCCGACACTGTCTCTCAGAGTCACGCTGCAGGGCCACGGTACGTGTGCATCACAGCAACACCGGCACTTTCTACCCCAAATCCAACCCAAAAAGACCACATTCTCAGCTCCTCAGAGGCATTCTTTTTTAAAAAAGGTTTTGCTTTGGTAGGCCGTGAGCTGAGCTCCTGTAGCACTCACACAGCTCCGAAAGGGACCCGATGGGAGGCTGTCCCAGACTGTCCACAGCGGTTTCTATCCTGCTCTGTTCAGGGAACAAGGCTATTTGTGATTTTCCAAGTCACACACAGCTTCCTTTCACAGTCAGCCCCCAAGACACAGACACACACACACACACACACACACACACACACACACACACACACGGACACGGACACGGACACGGACACACACACATACATACACATACTCACACACACACACACGGACACGGACACGGACACACACACATACATACACATACTCACACACACACACACGGACACGGACACGGACACACACACATACATACACATACTCACACACACATACACACACACATACACACACACACACACACACTCACATGAGTTCTTCAAAGGGAAGAGAAAAAGAAGTAGGGGTCTCATCATGTAGCCGCTATGGCAGGCAGGCAAGAATCAGAAGGGAAGGAGTAAAAAAGGAAATAAAGAGTAGGGCCGAAAACAAATCCTACAGCGCCATGATGGGGGTGTTAATTGAACACAGACAGAAAGAGAAAGAGGAGAACAAAAGAGTGTTAAAGGGGGAGAATCAGTTTTTCAAACCTCCTCCAATTATTTGATTGAACTGGAGCACAGACTGCACTCGGTGAAAACTTAGCTGTGGAGTGCCAGGGATAGCTAGTTACTCTCAGTTCTAAAATTAAAATTCACTCACAACTGCAGCTTGTTCACAAGTGTCTGTAACTATTCTCTGTAACTAACAAACCTCGCTTTTCCCCTTTCCGTATTTTTAAGCCTCTGTGATTTTTGACAGATAAGGGTAAACATTTTTGTTTTAATAAATCAAGAAATCTTTTAGGTACTTATTAAATATTCTCGGTCTATTTTTTCAGAAAATCAAGGTGTTTTGACTTTTTTCTCCTACCCTTCTGGCCCATCAACCCATTTCCCAGTCCACACAGACACAGGCAAAGCAGCCTATCTCTAACCTGTCAGAGAAGTGCCAGGCCTTAAAAAGGAACTTTGACTGTAAATGACCCAAAGTTCGTGCTTGAAGATTCTCCAGCCCCATACTGAACATGCAGCTGAAAGCCACATTCCGGAGCTGTAGATCTCCACAAGGTTTGCTCGCTGTTCACTGCAAATTGCAACCTGACTACATTTTTTTATCCTACTGTTTATTTTTAAAAAGCATAAAGTATCCAAATAAACACTTCTCCACACTCTTAAAGCAAAACACACAAGTTCATCTACTTTTCAAAATCCCGAAGTAATTTCTGACTTAAATACCCATCAATCAACTTTATAATTCAGGCACTGCTGTCTTCTTCGGGTATTATGCACGTGTTTTTGTTTTTGTTTTTTAAGTACCAAAAGGTTGAAGAGATGTCTTAGTCAGTTTTCCTACTTAACTTCTCATTAAATTATTAAAAAAAAAAACAAGAAACAAAAGCAGCAAGCCCCCTGCCAACACACACACACACACACCACTCCTTTCCAGAACCCTGTGTAGGTGAACTGGGAAACACAGTAAGTGCACAGAACCGCTCCAACTCAAATGGCCTCCGCAGGGCTTCAGGTAGCCCTCAGAAACACTCCATGCTATAGATATTGACAGCCCCAATAGGAAAAGTCCCCAAACAGCGAAGAAGGAAGATGTGTGAACTCATCTTTCAAACCATCTTTTAACTAGTTCTAGACTGAGAGCGGGAAACAGACAGACAGACAGACAGAAAAGGGCATCGAGAAGTGTGCAACTTTACAGACACTTTACAATCTCCCAGGACACCAAAGCCATGGAAGATGTGCAAACGGCTCCGATCCTGAGTGGAGGAGTTGAGGCACTTGGAAATTGTTTTAAACACGGTATAGTCTGCTCTACCTTTGACATCAAGGTCTGTTCCTTCCCTGCAGCCACAACACTCAAGTGGAAGAATAGAAGTGAGTTCACACTCCCCCCCACCCAGCTGTCCCCCCCATAGAACCCTGTTTTGTATCCCTTTTCACACAAGGGGCAATCAACATTTACATGACTTCATAAACTATTCCTTAAAACATCCTGTATCATCAGTAACACACATTTTTAAGACTCCAACCATAGACATGTTGACATAAAAAAAAAAACCAAAAGCAGACATCATCTTCCAACCATAAGGACATTATTTTGGCCATACTGTACCTTCCCACCCCGGAGCCAGTATGAACCAAGAACAGTCTTCAGCGCGCACCTGCCTTGGACCGCTCTTCACACCCACCGCTTTGATCTACCACCTCAGCAGGTTTTAATTAGGAGACCAGAATTAAACACTTGGGCAATGATGTACAAGTCAGTGACCCGACTGGTGCCCTTCCCATTAAAAGTATGATAAAGTATCTTTAGGAAGAAAATCTCCTTCAGTCCCTTTATTCCCCGTTCTTTTATATTTGGACTCTAAATTTCATGACGCAAGATTAACAAAACTCCAACTTGACGAGAAACAAAACCCGAGGCTCAGAGTGAATACCCTCACTGGAGGAAGAAAAGAAAAGAATAGAAGGGAGGAAGGAGAGAAGGAGACACATAATGCACACATGCCCACAGCTTCCTGCTGAGTTAATAGAAAGGAAGGAGAAGAAAAAAACTAAAAAATGTAACAAACTGAGGGAAAGCTGCTCTGATATTAGTATGCACAATCAATACATCTCTTAAAAGGCGTCTCTCATGGCTAAAGCAACGCAATTATCAGCTTTGCAATAAGGTTAGGTCCTGGCACAGCCACCTGGATGACTCAGAGGTCTCAGCAGCCCGTCTCAGGTGCTTTGTCTGGGATGTTAGACACTACACAAGTATCATTCACCAAAGGAGCTGTTTACTAATTTCACAGACATTTGAGAGATGCGAGTAATTACATATTCAATCAACGGTGACCTCCTGAAAAGATTCTATTTTTTTCTTTTTAAACAGAGAAATCCAGATTCCTCAAAAAAGAGAAAGAAAGGCAAGCCACCCTCTGCACCCTCCCCCTCCTCTCCATGTGTATCTATCAATGTATATCAACTGAGCATGCAATCATATCTATTGTCACTTTCATTCATGTCATGCCCTTGCTTATGTGGTTTAGATATGAATTATTGACTGTTATACACCTTGTTGTAAAAAATAAAGAAATAAATGGGATGGCAGGTACTTTGCCCGGCTTTAAAGTGGGCTAGAAAGTCTGAGACCAGCAGCCGATCCCGGTTTCCAGCAAGCACCCCTCAGACCCTCTTCACGCCCTGGCTTCAGATTGCCTTCTCAACTCTTTCTTCTTACAAGGGAGCGATTTAACCCACTTTGGAAAATTAAGGACCAAAATAAAGAAACAAGAGGACAGTTGCTAAGTGCCCTTTCTCTGCGCATCTGTTGTTTAAGAACACCTCTGATTGATGACTGCGATTTTTTAATTGTTGCTTTAAAATTTAAATGCCCTCCTGGGATGTGTTATAAGTGTGTTAGTCTATGATATGAGGTCTAGAAAGTAGAAAAACAACACAGGGAATGATCTCAGGATAATGTAGTGCCCTAAATCCAAAGACTGTCCCTCCTAGAAAAAAAAATCAGAGGTCATACAAAAGCCGGCACCTAGTTGCATAGTGCACTCCACAAAGGTATTCGAAGACAATCTTTTGAGAAGCTCAAGTTGGTTGTTATTTGTAAATAACAAATAACAAAAGTAGCAAAAGGAAAGCAGGCTGAAGAGTTTATCTCTCGCACCTCCCCCCAACAGCAGGGGTCAGAGGGACGGGAGCAGTAATTACTGATGAAAATATATTCCTTCAGGAAACGGACTTTTACTTTCGTATTTTTCCCCCAAAACCATATCATTCTATGAATTTCCCATCAGAACCTCTGCCTTCGCCCCAATTTCAAAAACAGTTGGTGCCAGATTTAAAGAAAACAGACTGCTTGAAATCAGCTGTCAAAGATGTTCCCCTTTAGAGAAAGCAGAAAGGTCTTTCATGGTAGCACTTGCATTTTAAAATGTTAAGATCCCAAGAAGAGTAAGAGGGCCACAGGTTCAGTGATTTGACTAGCCCAAGAAAAGCACCCAAAGGTTGGATTTTTTTCATTCCTACCTGTTTTTTCTTTGATTTCACACAACACATTAAACAAGGCGGGCTTCATTCTGTGGCAGTTTAAAGCATGCTTTCTGCAAGAAAAAACAACAACAACAACAAACACAACAGCTTAGGTGGACACTCAAGATCAAACTGACAAGGTACAGGGGGAACCTGATCATTTAGCCAAAAAATTATACTCCAAGCCTAACTCTGTGGCATGCTTCAATTGTTTTTATGACTTAATATACAAAGTCCCACCATAGGAAAAGAAGCAATGTTAATTAGCAGTGAGAGTAGGGATTTCACTACAGAGCAGAAATAACCTAAATTATGCCCATTAGGGAGAGGGTTTTCTCTCTTTTCCTTTTTCTCTTTCTGTCTTTTCCCCCCTTGATAAGTAGTTAAATCAAAGTAGAATTCTTCAACCAAGAACCCTATTGAAGACAATGAAAGCAGCAGGCCAAATGCATAGGTTAACAGTTCTGTATATTCTCTCTGCAAGACCCATAGCCTAGGAGCTATCTGCCTCTGTGTGTGTGTGCATGTGTTTTCAAATTTAATTCATCCATGTGTTCGAATTCATTCTGCAGATGCCCCTGAATTCTCATAAACATAAGATGCTTGAAAGGTCTTGTGAGTAGAACTGTCAATTTATAAAATTTCAGTCCCCAAGTTAAAGAGTATGGAAATGTGTTGCCAGGGGGCAAACATACCCAGATGGGGAATAAATTCATTTCTCTGTGTTCACATTATGGCTCTTGTGCGCACACGGCTTATTTGCAGGTGTTGAAATTCAATTATTTACAATTAGGACCTTGCACCCACTGGGGAAAAAATAAATACAATTTTGCCTTTTAGATTAGTGATTTACCTGGTTCCTGTGGTTGTGCATGTTTCTACTCAGAATGCACTTGAGGGACAGAACAATGTCCTTCCTTCTAGTTTATTATGGACTCACTTAGCAGAATGATATTGTTTTGGAAACAAAATACTGATCTTATCAGCTACTAGCTAAGGGAATTCTGTTTACTAACTAAATGTACGTGTAAAGATAAGCAGAAAACCCTGGCACTCAAAACACATTCAATTCTTTTTCAATCAGTTTTAAAGTATAAAAAAAAAAAGAAGAAGACACATCTTCCAGAGGAGCAGGGATTACCTACACACTCTATACTGTGCAGCAAGGGAATAATAAAGTCAAAATTCAAAATGCACACATATACATCATCTAAAATAGTCATATCTTACTTTCTGAATCAACAAATATATACTACAAAGGAAAAAAGCTTAATTGTCTAAGTAGTTACACATTGTTTCAAGAAAAAAAAAGAGGTTAGAAAATTTTTAGTTCTCAGGAGGAGTTAAAAACAGACTGAAAACATTTCAATATATTTAAGATCTTTTCCCTGGTCTTTAAAAACACTTCTCACCCATCCGTTTTTGTTTTTGTTTTTTAACACGGGCCCAAATGCAAAGGATTGGCAGTTCTGTCTAGAAGCTTTGCTTCCCCACACTTCACAAATGGGGTTGGAGAGAGACAACTGTATTCTTCCCGGTCCCAAACTGTATCTGATCTTTCTCAGCATCTAGGCCATTAAAGGGGATACCCGCTGAGAAGTGTTTGTCCTCAGTTTCACAAAAAGAGAGAGCAGAAAAGTATCGAGGAGCCAAGCTCACTGGCCTCTTCCACTTCATGAACTTGTGATCAAACCAGTTTATCAGTGGTGTCTGAGTGTATTTTTCTGGAACAATGTTATGGAGAAATCTGTTCCAATTGAAGAGAGAATTGCCAGTGGGGAGCCTCTCCTTTGCCATACCCATTAGCTTTTCTTCAGATAATAACATTCAAAAAGAACACCAATTAATTTTTCAAAAATCTTTCCCCTCCACCGTTAAAAACATGAGAATAGTTTGGGGGGAGTCTTTTAACATTCCCAAGTTTTCAGGCGCCCTAAGCCTTAGCACTTTTAAGTTTACATGTTCCATGTGTTAGCAGCTAAAATGAGTGTAATTCATAACATGCGTGCTTTTAGCTGCTTCCTCTTATTTTCTCAAGGCTCTGTTTCCCTTACATAAAATATGTGTTATCCACATAACTGAGTCACATAAGGGCTAGCCGTTTTGTAATATGTTTAAAAGAATTCCAAAGCAAAATAGAAAGCACTTGGAAATTTAACAAAGCTGAGTGATTGTGTGGACATATGTGACCATTGAATTTTTTTTTCAATCTTTCTTATCTGAGTTTGGCCTTGAGCAAGCTGTTAGTGGCTTTGCCACTTAACCTGTGTTTTCATTTTAAAAGAGGATTTGCTGTAAAAATCCTAGAGTTAAGAACCTGGTGGTGGGTTCAATTAAGGAAGCCCCAGTTTCGTAGTTATATTCCTTCATGTCTTGTCCTACTGAAAAACATGAAATTCATACGTGCCTTCATTTCAATTTAGTGGCACTCCAAGTAACCCTGGAAAAGGCTTGGGGTAAAGAATATGATTGATTTTTGTTCCCACCCCTTTAAACAGGACCACACATAAGTGTCTGTCCTGGGAAGGTGAGAACACCAACTCAAATTAAGAGACAATGAAGTTAAACTCAAAATCCCAGTCTCCTACAACTAACAAACAGTCCTCAAAGCAAAATTATCTTCCCTGTCTTCCCATTTTCTTTTTCTAAAACCAAAACGGAGTGACTGCAAGATATTTTCTTACTGTCTGACATCTAACACAGAACTACCCTGCTTTTTGTTTGTTTGTTGTTTTTGTTTGTTTGGGGTGGGGAGTGAGAAAAGAGAAAAGACCAAAAAAATTATGGAGGGGTACATGAAGAAGGAAAATCAAACTTGCTGGATTATCTAAGTAAGGAGCCAGGGGCATCTACAAATAAAGTGTTCTTGGGACATTTTTTATTTTGTCATGTTCCGAAGTCCCTCAACTACAGAAGGCAATGCCGCTCAGAACTTGACAATTCTGCTTCCCTCACACACTTTTTTAAAGCAGTTTTTTAAAAAAGGAAAAGTGCCGAGGCCGCTTTCGGATTAGTTGGCAGCATTTTCGGCGTGGCTGCGTGTTTGTGTGCATTCATACAAATACCTCTAACAGACACACGCACAATATCTACACATTGCCATATCACCGCACGGGCGATCACACTTTCGATAACAACGCTTCTTTAAATTTTACTCCTCCGCCATGGAGTTGTTTGTTAAAATGAGAAAAGAAACAACATTTTTAAAAGAAAGCGCTATAGTGATTCGGTTCCCATTGTTTCCCCTGCGAGAGAGAGGAAAAAAAAAAAAAAAAAGAAAGGCAAAGAAAAGCCTCCATCTCACCTGGCCTGCGCTTCATCCAAACTCTGGTCTGTGATGGTCATAATTTGCTGTAAAATGTCCCCGATGTCCTGCTTCCTCCCGCCCTCCCCCCTCGGTCCCTCCGGCCCCATCCTGCAAGTGCTGGGACAGGCCGGGGTGTCCGGCCATCCCGACCCCAGCGTGGGAATGCATCAGCCTCGGCTGCTCGTCCATCTCCGAAGGCTCCGGCAGCCCCGGTTCTTCCTCTTCGGCTCCTCGGCTCGGCGCCTGGGAAGCACCGAGGCTTTTTATCCTTCAAGCTGTCTTCAAATCCTTTTCAGGATAAACAGGGACCGGGTTTAAAAAAAAAAAAAAAAAGACCAAAAGGGAAAAAAAATCTCTTTGCCTCTTTAGAGGATGGTGGGAGGATGGGGAGGGGGAGGGGGGCGTGAAGGGGTTGCGGGGTGAGGGTGGGGATAAGGGCTGGTGGGGAAGGGTGTTGACTCCAAAAAAGCAAGAAAAATAAACCACCTTCCCACTTGGCGAAAAGAAATCAGAGCTGCCTTGGGTTTTTCAGTCCGATCTCCTTTGCAAGGCAGAAATGGGCTCCCGGCGCTTAAATCTGTGGCTTAATCCTTTTGCAAATATGCATTGATCGGGAGAAAGGAGAGGAAGGCAGGGGGATTGCAATGCAAACTTTCCCCCCCACCCCCCGCTGCCCCTCACCCCCACTCCGGGCCAGAGTGATCTCAAAGGGGGTGGGCTGTAGCAGAAGCCAGATCTCCCCCAGCCGTGGCGGCAGGCAAAGCCCAAGCTCTCTCCTCCTCCGTGTCTCTGCAAACTCCAGCAGCCCCGTCAGCCTCCTGCTTTTGTTTAGCCCAGGCTCAGGACTCCAGAAACATATACAGAAAAACCACAGCCTGAGAGGAGGAGGAGAAGGAGGAGGAGGAGGAGGAGAAGGAGGAGGAGGAGGAGGAGGAGGAGAAGGAGAGGGGAGGGGGCCGAGGGAAGGGGGGAGGGGGCGGAGGCGGAGAGACCAGGAGGAGGGGGCCAGCGGAGGGAGGAGGGCTTCAGAGCCCCGCCCCCGTCTCTGATTGGCTAGTCTAAAGAAACGGACTCTTCCTCCCACTACTTTCCACCCTGCTCCTCCTCCTCAGCCTCCTTCAGCTCCTCCTCGCCCGGTAGTCCTGTCAATCAGAGTTTAGAGGTGGGCCGGGAAGGAGGCGGAGCTAAGAGCAAGTCTCCAGTCCTTAAAGGTACAGAGCTAGGCTAGCTCCGACTCTTGTCTTTCCTGCCTCTCTTAGGCTGCGTCCTTGAGGAAAACGTGGCTCCACTTAAATGCAAGACTGTAAAATTAACACGAACGCATACAGAAGGTGTGGATCCCTCCGCCCCACCCCTCGTTCGCCTACGCAGTGACGCTGTCGTAGTAAACTTGGTTCTCTGAAATCCTTAAACCTCGGAGAAACTGTTGAGAGGAAACTTTGTAGTGTGCCATAGTTAGCAAATAAAATCGAGCTGCTAAGGTAATGCATAATGATCCCTAGTAAATGAAAACCGAGATAGTAGGTAATTTGCAAAGACTCAACTCTAGGCCAGAAAAAAAATACAGATTGCTATTAATTGTGAACTAAAACCAAATAAAACTCAAGAAAAAGACTAATAAATAACTTAACCAAATGAAAAGAATTCAACATTTCTCTTCCCCCCTCAGGGAACTTGATTATTTGGCTTAAACACTTAATAAAGGATTGCATTGTCACAGTCTGGTTCTAGTTTTTAATATAGTCTAATAAGCATTAATAACAGGGAGAAGAAGGAAACTGACATTTATTGAATGCCTACTATGCACAAAGTAATTTACTTGAGTTATTGTATCTAATTCCCAAGACATCTCTGTGAATTATGGAATAATATTATACTCATTTTATAGAGAAGAAACTTAGAAAAGTTAAAGAATTTGCCCCAAGTCCATAGTTATAAAATATGAACGCTGGAATTCATACCCAAGTTTGGCTTTCTCCAAAGATGAGTGTGTCTATGTATAGTAGGCCTCAAATCTAACAGATACATGTGAATGTGGTAAAAGTTACTTGTGTGCCTTGTGTTTGTGTAGCTTGAAAACAGACTTAAGTACTTAGAAGAACAGATATTAAAACAAGAGGGCTGGGATTGAAAATACATAGGAAATAAATAATTGAATTAGCCAGGCAGTGGTGACTCACACCTTTAATTCTGGCACTCAGAAGGCAGAGGCTGTTGGATCTCTGTGAGTTCCAGATCAGCCTGGTCTACAAAGCGAGTTCCAGGACAGGCTCCAAAGCTACACAGAGGACATAGATAACTATCCCCAGATAGATGGATGGATGGATGGATGGATGGATGGATGGATGGATAGATAGACAGACAGACAGATGGATGGATAGATGGATGAACCCAGTAAGTAATTCCTGCCTGAGCAAATCCACAAATTTTCATTTGTTTTCCTTTTAATCCAGTCAATAGGGGAATCTGACTGGGGACATATTCCCAACGCCCATGAGATAAAAGCAAAACAAAACAAACAAACAAACCCACCAATCACTTAGGCAAGCCCTGAACTGCTTTGGGAGTTAAAACACTCTTTTATGTATCCAGTGCTGATTCTGCATGGCTCTATATGGCCAGCCTCAGTATCCCCAATCAGCAGAATGGGACATTACCTAGTCAGGCACTTGGAGATCCTCAAATAGAATGCTCTTCTTTTCATCAACCATTATGCAAACACTTGGCAAGATAAGGGGCCCTTAGGGAAGCACTTCAAAGCAGCTCTTAACACACTCATTGGCACCCATTGGCATAAGGGCATGCAGTAGTGTGTGTTAACTGTACTGGCAATGCCATATTACTTAATAAAAGTGGTTTTATTCACATACACATCTTGACTTGTAAGCTGATGGTTTAATCAACACTAATCAGAAGTTGAGTAAAACTATATACTTAAAATCATGTCAATCTCATCCTATGTGGCCTCATGTATTCCTTGCCTCTTACAACATGAGGCTGAAGTGGAACCTATAAGAAATCAGTTTTGAAGCAATTGATTCTTAGTTGTGAATCTAATAAAATGTTGCCAAGCCAAGTATTGAGAAAGGCACCATACACACTATAAGATCAGTATTGTCTAGGGTCATTTTGCTAGGGGAATTAGGGATGTGTACAATATTAATCATACAAATGACACATATTTGTTATTTACCAACCCAAGTTTTTCTGCTCAAGGTACTGAGTTAGGTCACTACAACTATCTGGTCTCAATTCTTAAGCATTTAACTATGACTCCATACAGTTGCCCAAGCACATTTCAATATAAATAAATGGTATACTGGAGAAACCACACACTACAAAAGAGATGAAAGAAAGTGAACACCACTTAGGGTAAGTGAAAGTAGGATCTGAGGTGAGTCTGAAGGACACTGGATCTGGAAGACAGGCAGGGCAAGGACGATGCTTAGACCATATCAAGATGGTGCCTCTGTGAGAGTTGACTTGATGTGGGGGAGAAAGATAAAGGAAATGGCTTCCAGGTTGGAATGATACAGTGAAAATTATAGCTGGAATACGATTTATCCAGTGCTGAGTCTGTTGTAGGCTTTTGTAATAAGTTACCACTTAATTTGGCTAATTTAAGTCCCATTTTTGACACCTCCCTACTTAGTGGTGAAGATGCAAAGTTCCTTGAATTACTAGACAAATACAGACTGGCATCACTCAGTATCTGACTGGGATTCATTCCATTCTGTGGCTGTTTTGTTGTATGGGCATAGACTGTATTCAACACACTAAGTCACTCTGTCACCAGGTCATACAGTCTTGTGGTGATCATCTCTGTATACTGTCTTCTGAAGGATGATTGTACAAATGTTGCAAAAATTCCTTATTTTTTAATGCAAATAAAGGATTTCAAAGGGAGCAAACACCTCAGGTGAAATAGAATGACTAGGATAGCATTAGAGAAGTTTGAAAAGTAGGTTTTGAGAGAAAAAATTCTACGTGCAATTTCCCAACTTTATGAACCGTGACAGAAGATGGATACTGTTTTTCCTTCCTTCCATATCCGGACAACACTTTACTTAGAATCGCTGTGTTACAAATATGCTCTTAAACCGGGCGTTGGTGGCGCACGCCTGTAATCCCAGCACTCGGGAGGCAGAGGCAGGTGGATCTCTGTGATTTCCAGGCCAGCCTGGTCTAAGAGAGAGCTCCAGGACAGCCTCCAAAACAATACAGAGAAACCCTGTCTCAAAAAAAAAAAAAAAAAAAAAAAAAAAAAAACCACACACACACACACAAAACAAACAAACAAACGAAAAACAAATATGCGCTTAGAGGAGCTGAGACCCGCTGAGTCCTGCTTTCTGGATGTGAGTTTCAAAATCTGACCCAGTAACAAAGCAGCTCTCAGTCCAACCCACTTCTGACGTGCTACAAAGTCGTGCTCACCTCTGTGAGAAGACTGGGTGAAGCTGAAATTCTCGCTCAAACTTCCTCAAATCCTAGTAGAAAGCACTGTTCACTCATCATCCCCGAAGGAAAAAGAACCAGGTGTGGGGAATGAACGAAAGGACGCCACTCCATTCTCCAGCAAACCAGGGCATGGATTTGTTAGTACTGTAAGGATTCAGGAGTTATGCTGAGCTGCCCCTGTCACCTGGCAGAATGCACTCAGAATGCACTCTGGTCAGCCCAGCAGTCCTTGATGCCGTAGTCTGCGCGCAGGCGCAAAGGACCCCATCTAAAGAAAGACCCTGGACCACTTAGGCTCTCTTTCTGCACTTCTCTTTACCGCTCTCTTCCCCGTGGTTCCCCTGGAACAGACAGGACTTTTCCTGTCTCCCTCTTCTCTTCTGTCCTCTCTGTGTCTCTTCACCTCTTTCTCTTTACTTCCCCCTCCCTCCCCTTCCTAATAAAACTTCTCACTTAAGCTCTGTCTGCCTACATATTTGTCCCTCCGCCTTGGTCCGTCTCGCCTGCCAAGGTCCCCCACGCAAGTTTCCTCACGCATTATTTTAACAGGTAAGGTCAGAGATAAATTCATTACCCCATGCTGCTGTGTCATCTAAGAAGACAATAACTTATGCACCGTACTGGTTTGAATGAGAATGGCTTCCATAGGCTCATAGATTTGATCCTGGGTGTCTGGAGAGTGGCACTATTAGAAACAAGTATGGGATGTGGCCTTGTTGAAGGAAGTGTGTCACTGGAGATAGGCTTTGAGGTTTCAAAAAGCCCATTCCAACCCCAGCTTCTTCTCCAGCACCATGTCTACCTGAGGGTCACCATGCTTCTCACCACGATGACAATGGACTAAACCTCTGAAACTATAAGCCAATCCCCAGTTAAGCATACTCTCTCTTTTTTCTTGTTTGTTGCTTACCACATTTTCTGTTCTTGAACTTTCCATTCTCCTACCCACCTTTATGTACCCCATCTACCTGGAATATTTTTTTTCCTTTTGTTTTATACAACCTTCTCTGATGTGTTTATAGAAATTTCCTAGGTTGGTCCTGATTCTGTGCCTCACTGGGTAGTCTTTAAAACTGTGGTGGGATTACTTCCCTCTGAATTAGATCACAAAAGTTCTTGAATAAGGACTCTTAACCAAGGTCTATATAATAGCTTAAAAGGTTCTACAGAGTCCTGGAAATTATACACAAAAGTTGGCAGTGTATGC